CAGTAGATCATCAGTGGCCGACTGATTCACAGGAGGTACCCGACTCCACCAACCCTCCGCACACCCCACACTCTCTGCTACCTCTCCCCTGCCCCCCGGTTTAAGCCCCCCACGGGCCCCCCTTCCAAGGTAGGGACCAGTCACTACCCGCCATCACCACCGTTTTTACCCCTCCTCTAGAGCACCTCAAACGGAGCAAAACACGCTATCACCCTGTCGTACCTGTCTCCCTGTGTTTTGGCGCACCTGCGGACACCCTTCCCTCCCTCTTTCCCCACCCCCCATTTCCACTTCCACGCCGCTCCGCCGCTCTCACCGCGACCAGCTACCCCCCCTCCATTCCCCTGGCCCTTACTTCTTGCCCCCGGGCACACCCGACAAACCCATCTTCTTGGCCAGGAGGGCCTTATAGTCCCGGATATCGCCCTTCCAAACCGTCACCTGCAGCGGACATGTACGGCATTCGGTTGCTCTTCCTAAGCCAGTAGTGGCGCGGCAATGGTCGGCGCCGTCGGCCCCTCATTGTCCCTCATGGAGAGGTACACGCCGATGGACAACAGACTGATAAACAGACAGACATAGATTTCAGAGACTGACCGAGATGATGACGGTGCATCAACACACAGCCCTCCTGACACCTGCATTCCCGGCCTCCCTCCTCAACTAGGCACAGAAGACCTCCCCTACACTCCCCTACACCCATACACGTTCCCCCCTCCCTCCCCTCCCCCCTTCCCTCCCACGAGCTGCTGCTCCTCCGACGCACCTTCTTGTTCTCACATACCCAAATCTCCTTGGCCACCTGGTCGATCAACCGGAAGTCGTGACTGACCAGCACCATGCCGCCGTCGTACCTGAGATGACGGCAGGGGGGAGACATATTTAAGAAAATGCAGGTGTGTATGTAAGGGGGGGGGGAGGAGAGAGGGAAGGAGTGACCGAGGTGAAATAATCAAAGGGGTGTGGAGCAGGACAAGGTCGTCCGTTCGAGCCCTCTGGCGGGCCTCCGACAAGAAACTTAAGGGGGTGGCCCAACAACAAGGCATAATGACCGCCTTCCTATTTAGGCATCTGGTAATGGACAGAGGTTACAGGAGGGTTCCTTGGACACCCCTCCACCACCGTGTCGTGCTGTCCTCCACACGAACCAACACGACCTCGTACAACGATGACCCTCTCCTCTCCCAACCACCCACCACGCACCTCCCACTCATCATCCAATTTCATCAAAAAAATACGACAAACACACAGGCAGCCGCTCTTCCTCCCAACCCCCCCACCCTCCACTCCACAGTGCCCCTCTCACCCCCCAAGATCAAAAGCCGTCACGCCCCCTTTTTCCCCCCGGCTCCCCGCTCATCACCCGGCCCCCAATCGCCCCCTCCCCCACTTGTAAACAACCAACCAGCGCTACCTTTTGATGGCGTCCGCCAACGAGTCGATGGCCTCAATGTCCAAATGGTTGGTGGGCTCGTCAAGCAGCAGCAGGTTGTTGTTCTTCATGCACCTGTACGACACGTACCGCAACGTAGTACAACGAAGGTTTGGCAGTCGCGTGTATGGTAATGTGAGGGGCGGCTCTTAAGGGCTCACGGGGGGGCGCTGGAAGCTCACGACGAAAACGAGGGCGTCGTTTGGCCCCGGGTGAAAACACACACACACACACACACACAAACACACACGTCCCGCACAGCCCCCCCAGTCGCGCAAAGACTCCACCCCCGGGTGAAATCCACCCCCGGGTTCTCCCGGGGGGAGGGGGACCCCGTGGCAGACTCCGTGGGAGGCCTCCACCGGCAGCATCACGTGTTAAAAAACAAACAGAAAACACAATCATTCCCATCACTATTACCAACACAGTCGCACTTACATCATGGCAAACACCAGCCTGCTCTTTTGCCCCTCGCTCAGCATCCCAATCTTGGTGGTCTGCAGTCGGCCGCTGACACCGAACCGACCCAGGTACGCGCGCCACTCGTCCTCCTCACGTTTGAACGTGGCTGCGTGTGTGTGTGTGCATGTATGTATGTATGTGCGTATGTGTGTTTTGGGAAGAGGAGGGCGGGGGAGAGGTAAGGGGAAAGGGCCCAGGAAGAGGCGGGCGAGGAGGGCAGACATGCAGCATGTCCCCTTAAGTGCAGACAGCTCCCGCAACTCCTTCTTTCTCCCCCACCCCCACCACCACTACCACCACTACCACCACAATAACCAGCAGCTTCACAACAGTCCTCATGACTACCTTCGTGGACAGACACACAGACACACAGACAGGGATACTCACACAACACACAAAACACACGACCAGACGTGAAAGTGCGCCCATCCGCGGCCCCTAGTGTCCGAACTGCCACAGCCAAGCCGCCCACGTACGACTCACGTCCGTTGGGGTAGGTGGATTTGAAAAACTCCAGGACCGTCTTCTCCTCGTCCAGCTGGTCCACCGAGTGCTGGTGGTAACGGCCGATGGAGAGGTGCGGGTGGCGGGTGACGGTGCCCTTGCTGGGAACCAGGTCGCCAGTCATCAGCTTCAAGAGGGTGGACTTGCCTGAGGTGGGTGGGTTGGGGGTGGGGGGGGGGAAAGACGAACCACACGCGATTGAAGCTGCTGCCAGGGCAAGATAGTAGCAACCGAAAGGACTGACCGAAAGGCGTCCGTGGCGACTGTGACGACTGTAACCTCGGGATGAAGAATTGACGTAGATGTTGGAAGTCCTACCTACCTAAGCCGCCAGAAATATTATAGCCAAACCGTAAACTAGTAGGTGTAGAAAAAGTAGTGAAGGCGGCGAGAAAAAATGCTGACGTAAAAGTGGCGTAAAGTTGCTGGCCAGGAGAGAAAGCTGCATTGCTGATACTGAAAGGCTGCCGGTATGCAAGTGTTCCTCCCAACCCCCCAAAAAACTAGAACGCGCGACTGACCCGACCGACCCAAACTAAACTATTCCGGCTAGCCTACCGACGCCAACGCGAAAAACCAAAGAAGCTCGAACCACCTTTTGGACTCACCTGGCCAGGCAGCAGGAGCAGCGGGCAAAGGCACATGCAAGGCAGCGAGGTGGGAAGACTTGTGAGCAGCGAAAGAAAAATACAAAAACGCATGCAAATGCTGCTGAAAAGGATTATTAAACTAGCTGACCGGGAAAGCTGGAAACGAGAAAACCTAAAGAACCTATATGAAAACGGATGAAAACGCAGGAACTAAAAAACAATAGCAAAGGCGGCGCAGGACGACACAGAAGGTGTCGTACGAAATGACCTAATGACGCATTGGACGGGATGACGCAATGGACGGGATGCCGCATTGGACGGCGTGTACGCCGGCAGAATGCAAAGAAAGTCGAAATGGAGAAGTGGGTTGGAAAGAACGCAAACGCGAACGTTCTTTCCAACGCAAAAGAAAAGCCCAAGGGAGGAGAGGGAGTTGGTAGGAAGAGAAGCGCAAGTGCGCTGGGGGGGGGGACGAATGTGGGGGGGGGGGGACGAATATGGAGGGACCAGGGGAGTTTATATGATTCTTTGTTGTACAAGCGTCGTACGGATGTTGTACGGATGTAAGAGGGTCTCGCAAAGTCGAAATACAGACGAGGCGGCACTGAAGACGTGACAATGATAAACCCGCGGGGCCGCCCGCCTTGTCCCCCCCCTTCCTCCCAATACACACACAGATTTTAATGAATCAAAAAGCCCATAATATTCCGCCCACACACACCGGTACAGCCCTCCTTCCGCCGCCACACAGGGCACATCAGGACCAACACGCCTCCGTCGCACCCTCGCCGCCATTCCCCGTGTGTGCATGTGCATGTATGTATGTCCTACCCGCGCCGTTGGGCCCGACCAGCGCCACGCGGGAGTCGCAGTCGATGCCAAACTCCAGATCCTGAAACGGTTGGGAGTTGGATTCAGTTGGTTGTCGTTGGAAAGACACAGCGATGCAACGTTCCAACCATCACCTGGTCCCGTCCCAGAGATGACTTCAACCCCAACTTTATAGCCACGAATGGTAGACAAACAGACAGATAGACATTCAAGCGCGAGAACGCACCAGCATGTTGCGTGTTTGCACGCAAACCACAATGCCCCATCGCTTCCGAACTCCGAAAATGATGCGCACCCCACTGGGGTGATCGCAGTAAAGTTCCCCTTCCCCCCGCCCGGTCCTTACCAGTAACTCCCCCCTTTACCACCACCACCCCACACACAGACCACACAGTCACACACACAGTCACACACACAGTCACAAACACACGTCGTACCTTGTACAGGTATTCCTCGGGTTTCCCCGAATAGGCGAACGACACCCCGATGAAGGGCAGCACGGGGGGCGGCAACTTGGCGCATTCGGGGAAGGAAAACTGTACGCGAGGGGGGAGGGGGGGTATTCGTTGGAACGAAGAGGAGGGCAGAGAGGAGGGAAAAGAGGCACAGCGGAGGGGAGGAGAGGGGAGGAGAGGGGAACAAGAGAAAGGGGGCCGATGTGAATCTTGTTGGGGGGGAAAGCTGTGTGGGGGTGGAGGCGGCGGCAATAGCGGGGACATGGAAGGGACGCTGAGGTCCCCCTCAACGACGTTTCCTGTGGCCATGGGTCAAAGCTCGTCCAAACACGTCCACATAATTCGTACGTGCTCAAGGCCCCCCCTCCCCTTCCCCGCCTTTCTATCCGCCCATGGACACGCTGTACACACCCCCTCCCCCTCCCCATATCGGCCCTATATTATGTATAGGAATATGTACGACATGCACCCGCGCTCTCACAGCTCCCCCCCGCCCCTTCTCCACCTCCCCCAGCTCCCTCTCCGGAGCTCTCCGGGTCTCTAAAACCCTAACTCCTCCCCTCTACACCAACCCCTGCGCCCTCCTCCCCCCTTTCCCGCTCCCTCCGGCAGCTCAGCATCCGCGCTACCTCCAACACAATCCCCCCCAAACTGCACCATCCGGACCCGCACCCAGACATACAGACATACCCACACCCAGACAGACAGACAGACATACCTGGAATGTCCTCTCCCTCTGCACGGGCTTGGTGAGCCCCGCCTCCTCCATCTTATCCAGAATCTTCTGCTTGCTCTTAGCCTGCTTCACAAGGTTGGCGTAGGTACCTGGCGAGATGTGCGTGCGTGCGTGTGTGTGTGTGTGTTGGGGTTGGGGGATGGGGGGAGAAAGGAAAAGACGAGGTGCGGGGGAGGTTGAAGGGCGCGGAGGTCATGTGTGTGCGCGTGTATGTTCTTTCCGTGGGGTTGGGGGGGAGAGAAGACTAGGAGGTTAGGGGGGGGAGAAATCGATTGACGGAGAAAGAGAGACGCGGCCCCATCCCACCCACCCCCCACCCGGAATTACTTCAGGGTTTAAGTCCACACAGCACACATAAACAGAATCCCCCGTAACCCCCCTTCACCTCTATCTGAAGAGTCCTACAAATCCCCCACTCCTCTTTTCCCTCCCCCCCCCCCATGTCGGGGGGGAAAGCAAACCACGAACGGGGGAAAATGGGGACGGGATCTCACCGCAGCTGGCAATGAACTCCTTAATATGTTTGATGTCCTCCTGCTCCTTTTGGTACTTCTTCATCTGAACAACCTCGTTCTCGGCAACCGTCTTAACGAACGTGTCGTAGTTACCTGTGCGGCGGTTTCAGTTGGGGGTTGAAAAAGGAGAGGGTGCAGTGGAAAAAAGGGACAACTCTATCGTACGTGAAACAAAGGATAAACTGGCCAGAGAAAAAGAGCGGAAAACAGGTACGGCAGGTTACAGGTTACGGCTGGTAGTACGACCCGGGCAGGACAAGGAAACACGTAACACCCTTAAAACACATGTCTGTGTTGCACCTTTACGTTACTCTACGAAGGCGTACGGGGCCCGTACGAGCATGTACGTACATACGTACAAACTCACCCGTGTAGTACGTGAGCTTCTGCTGAGTCAGCCAAATGATGTGGGTGCACACGCCGTTGAGAAAATCCTGAGTTGAGGTGAGAGAAGGCGTGAGAGGAAGGGGGAATGAGGGAAAGCAGGTTACAAGTGTAGAGTGCGCTGCGTACTAGCGGGCCCCCAGGCACGTCTTCCCCCCCCCCTCCTTCCCCCCCCCCTCCTTCCCCCACCGGCCCAAACTCCCCCTATCTTCCCTCCCCCCACCATTTCCCTTCGCCCCACTTCTGACCCCCTTTCCCCCTTTCCACCCTCAAACGCACATACCTACATGCCCACAAACACACACATACGCACACACACGTGCGCGAGGCGCACCTGCGAGTGGCTGATGACCACCAGGCACTTGTTGTAGTTCTTCAGGTACTCCTCCAGCCACACACACGCCTCGAGATCCAAGTGGTTGGTGGGCTCGTCCAGCAGCAGCAAGGTGGGCGCGGCGAACAGGGCCCGAGCCAGAGCCACCCGCATACGCCAACCACCTGGGACAGAGAGCAGGGTGGGGGGGAGAGGGGGGGCGGGGAGGGGGTAAGACGGGCGGATGGGGTGCTGGCCTAGGCCTCAACAGTGTTCTCCCGTACACCTGCCTTAACACGTGCTGCACACACATGGTCACTCAGCTTCCGTACTTTTGCTCATCCACACGTACACTTTAAACCCTAACCCCCCTACTTCCTAACCCCCCTACCGTCCCTACTTCCCTAACTCCCTACCCAAGCCTCTACCCCTCACCTCAAGAAAATAGACCCCCATTCACCCTCTTTACCCCCCTCCCACATACACACATACGTACACATACACACACACGCACCTACCTGAGAGGTCTCGTGTCTTGCGCTGTTGGAAGGCGGGGGAGAAGCCCAGACCGTGAAGCAGCTCAGCAGCCCGGGTCTCAAACGTGGTTGGATCCAGCTCGTCAATCCTGTCGTATATCGCCTCCAGTCGCTCGTCCTCCGGCCCCGAGGTGCTCATAATCTCCTCCTCCAGCGCTTGGAGCCGCTCAAGCTCAGCCTTTACAAAGGTCCAGGGAAAGCCGGGGTGGTTGGTGGTTGGTCGGTGAGACGACAACACAAGAGATGGAGCCAAACATGACGCGATTCAAAATACACACACACTCCCCTCCACTCCGGCAATTTCTACAGTTTACCTCCCCCTTCCCCCCTTTTTCCCCCCCCCCCCGTTCCCCCCTTCCTCCCAACCTGAATGTGGTCAATGACGGCCTGCAGGGCGGTGCGCTCTGAGGGCTCGGCTTCCTGATCCAGGTGGTAAATGTCGAGGTGGTCGGGGATGGGAACCTGCGTGCGTCAAGGGACGAGGAACGGGGCAAGGCAGTTAACGGGGGAAGGATTCCCTTGAAAAAGAGCATCAAAGGAAAACAACAAGGCTGCTTAACCACACTGGTAAAGCTTAACAACATCGACAAGGAATCGGGAAAAGGAGAGGGGGGAGAAGCAGAGCCGGAGCGGAAAGGGAAAAACCTGCGTTGTACCGTGCGTGCAGTGTTTTTGCCGTACGCGTCGGAATCGGACACAGTGCTTTGCAGGTGTCGTACCTCGCGCTTGGCGATGCACTTGAGGAAGTTGGACTTGCCACTGCCGTTCTGCCCGATGAGTCCGTAACGCCTGCCGATGGTGAGCTCAATGGAACAGTCCTGATCCGGGGGCAATCCAGGGAGGGAGGGAAGTGGGGGCGGAGGGCCGGGGTGAGGTGGCGGGGCCGGGCCGGCGGGGGGGGGGGAGACCGCCCTCAAAGACCCCCAACTCACCAACCCCCATTCCCCCTAGCACGCATATAAAAGCAGATTACTTGCGTGCATACACAGCACATGCGTGCATTCACATGCAAACCCTACAGACAGACAGACAGACATATATATACATGTATATATAGACGCATGCATGTGCACCGCGGTGCCCCTACCTGAATGAGTTCACAGCCGTTCAGTCCCATGGAGAAGCCGTCGATTTTGATGTCGCGAGCAGTAGGTCGCGACACGAGCACCCCGGTGACTGTGCGGGAGGAAAAGGCTTCGTCGGCAGCGGCGGCGCCCTGGGAGGCCAAAGAGGCGCTGCTCGCGGCGGTGGGCATGCTGGCGGCGCTCTGTCGTACACATGGCGCACAGTTGTACGATACGAACGAATGGCGCGGGGGTGGGTTACGATTGTGTTGAGAGGGAGGAATTGGCGATGTAGGGTGGTGTTACACTCGCTGGCAGAACGCGGGGGTGGGTGGGGGGAATTATATCCAAGTTGCATATGAGGAAGGGGAGTATGCAAAATGCGGAGAACAGGTTACGGTGAGGTACCGGTATTGTGTACATGTGTACTGTATGCATTTGGCGGAGTTGTTTCGGTGCACTTTGGCTGCGCTGGCTGGTCAGGTGATGGTGCGCCGGATAAATAAAAGGTGAGGCCAACGGGACCTGGAATTCGCCTAAAGTAGATCGATTATTCCATCGCGTAAGCTGCACGTTTTGAGTAATCGGGTTATTAATTCTGTTCCACGGGGTAATGGCATGGTGTCCGTTGCTTTAGCCTTGCGGCCACGAGCTGGAGAACAAAATTATAACTGCTCCAATTGTTAAGCATAGATCGGGCGCTTCCGCTGACGCGTACTAATCATTAACGCTCATGCGCGGTCATGCGTCAACGAACGAGCGAAAAGGGTTGGTTGATGACGCCGGATAACCCAGCCAATCCCTTACACCGGCGCGGCGCTAAAACATGTGTCCAAATTCAGCGCGCGCACTCCGTCATGCATACGAGCCACAAGCTTCTTGACCGACGCTTTTAGGCACATCTACTTCGGCCCACAGTCCCCACCCTACCCGATGGGCCTATAATAAACCCTTTATATATACGCATACGTTCATCATGAAAGCGCCACGCATTTTAAGCAGTCGCGACCACGACTGTCCAGTTACCGATGGACCGGCGGCGGTTCTTTCGTCGGTGCAAATTCTGCACGTCGCCAGGCAGCCCAAGCCGTCTTCTTAAATTCAGCGAAACTCACCGCGCTCTTGCTCATTTTTCCGCCAGCCGCCTTCTTCTTGTCCGCAAGCGCCTTTTTGGTCGCAGCGCTTGGCATTTTTCACAACTGTGCCTTCCAACGAGCGTGCGGCTGCAAACAAAGGGTGAACTTGACCCAATAACTACTTAGGGCAAAATCGTTGCCCACAAAATGGCTGCTCCTGGACGCAGGTAGTTGCGCGCGTTCAAAGGTTGAGCAGCGCCGAGGCTGTCAGGCGTGACAGTAAAGACAGACCTTTAGGTAACCTTCAAGTTACCTTCGAACTGCACATTTATTCTCTGAAAACTGCTGCTTAAGGCTGTGTTTGCAGATACCGCCGTACAACGGAAAATAATGCTGGCCGTTTGAGACGCCGCAACCTGCAAACGTGAAGTCAAAACTCGCCAAACAGATTCAAAACTTGTCATGGTTAATGTTTTCAAGCTTCTGCGCGGGCTGTGGCAGGCATAGTATACCATCAACGTGAAGATGTAACCCTAATCCAAGGCAAGCACAATAATCTAGTCGCCAAGCTCAGCCAGGGACCCGTTATTTCAGACAAAATGAGAGCAGCAACACTATGCCAAAATGAAAGTAAATTTCAAGCGGATATATCCACCCGAAACCCAAATCGGTCCGGTGCACGCGGCTTTTACCTCACACAAGCAGTTACATGTGCCCTCCTCCAGAAACCTCAAACACATCAGAAAACAACGACAACAAAAACCACCCGCGCACCGCTGGGCCCCACTACGCCACCGGCCGCCTGCCTGCTGTATTATCTACAGACCTTGGATGGTCCGTCCCTCACGCTGCCCATCCAGAGCTGCACTCCCTGTAGGACTACGGTACTTCGTGGAGCTCAATTGCGGGTTATATCTATTTGAACAAGGACCCAACCACATGTGGACATCGGATCGGACAGGACCCAAGGTCGCCCCTCTTTTCGAACACGTCTCCCAGCGGACCCTTGAAAGCCCATATTCCTTCCGACACACACACACACCCGCTAGCACCGAACTGAAAAGGACCCAAAAATAAAAAAATCATTTAACCCATTTGACCCACATCACATCATATCCCCTTGCGCAGCTTTCCATGACCTAGTGCAGTGATCAACTTTCCTCTCCCCTACAGTCGTACGACCAAACCTCTACAGATCGACGTGGGGCCCCCTCCACCTCTATTTATGAGGCTCAATCACACACCATTACAATGTATATGATTACAGAAGCCACTGCGCGGAAAAATACGAAGATGATGACGGAGTTCGAACCCGGCCACTAACACCGCACAACCACAACCCATCTTTTTTCCTCGGTACCCCCACCTCCCGGCGCCCTCCTCCTAACACAGAGTGAAAGCCCCGCTACCGGCATCCCACCATCCGTACTACACCGTACAGCGTCACGTCACGTGACGTTACGTAGCGTCAGTGGGCATGTCGTACTCGTTTCCGTACTCTTCCCGACCCCAACCCCTCAGCCCTAGCCACAAAACCCTTGCATGCTCAGCTTCACCGTAAAACACATCAGAAACGAAAACCCGGAAGCTCCAGTTTGACTCGACCTGAGTTCGCCGTGACCAAATGATCTTCAGCGGGGGAGGGGGGAAGGGGAGATACACACAAACATACATACACACATTCTCTCAAAACACACACACTCAAAAAACACGCAGCATTTCGCAGCACTTCATCCTCTCGTGGCTCAGTCGAGTCCAGAGCGTCCACGGATAACACGACACTGGTCAGGCGCCATCCTGCCTCTGCATTACCAACACCATTTATACACACACCTACACACACCTACACACACCTACACACACCTATACACACGCACACCACCTGTACACACCCCTAGCAGTACCCCCCCCCAAAAAAAACCATCTACCCACTCACCCACCTACTCCACCATCCATACAGCCATTCACAAGAGCAGGCACCACCGGTGCATGCAAACACCAAAATCCGCCCGAGAATCCGCCCGGAGAGGCGCATCAACGTCATCCTCCCACCCCCCACCCCTGCCCCCACGTCCTGGTCTACCTTCAGGCCCCCCCCCTCGCGCTACGTTGGTCGGGGGCCCCGATGGGCGGATTGCGGTCGCGTCCTGCCCCGCCTTCGCTCGCCGTTGCACCGTATGTACGGACGGACGAGCGCAACCCCCTGGCTCATCCCTTCCCAGCGGCTGCGCCTCCCCGCATTCTCATCATCGTTAATAAGAGAGACAGACAGACAGACACTCAAACACACACTCACATTAGTCTTTTTACGATTTTGTTTGCGGTGCGACAACATAATCGGTGTTACTTTCTAGTTTTGCTTCCTCCCCCTCCTCCTCCCCCTCCACCTCCCCCCTCCTCCTAATATTGCCCCCGGCTCCCCACCTCCCTTCGCACCACCACAACACCACTACTCGAGTAGCGTCAACGCCTCGCGGCTGTCTTCAATCCGACCCCCCTTCCTGTCGCAACACGTACCTTCCCCTCTTCCCCCCCCCACACACCCCGACTGCTGCGCCATGCAAACACACGGCCCCTGTGCCGCCCGTGAGTCAACGAGTGACCGACTCCTGCCCCCTATCACCCGTTCGCGCGCATTCCCACACAAGGGCCCATCTCGTCCGATCCACTATCCTGTCGTACTTGTACGGAAGCGGTGAAGTATACAAGATATGCAAAATTATCGGGTGTACAAGGAAGCAGCGAGGCCGTCGGACAGCAAGCAGCGCCTGACGGGGAGGTGGAGAACTCCTTCCTGGTGGAGGCGGTGGAGGTGGAAGAGGAGGTGACGCAAACCACATCGCAAACCACATCTTTCCCCCATTCCCCCTTCCTTTCCCCACCTTTCCTCCCCCACCATACATATAAACATATATACACAGCAACAGACATCTCAAGGAACCTCCTTCAGTTGCTGCCGCTGGTGTAGCTGTAGTACGCCGTGAACGTGTCCACGAGGCCGTACAAGTACTCCGCTCCGAAACCAACAACAGGCACGTGCCGTGTCGCGTCACGCAGAGCTGCCAGCCACGACCTGACCATGACAGAAAGAATTAGTTAGATTCGGTTAGATTCGGTTGGTTGGTTTTAATTAGTTCACATGCTGCGCAACGGCTACGCCTGTTATGTGCAGCCGCAACCCCCCAGCTGCTCGGAGTTCAGATCACGAGACCACCACACAGCTCATGGTGGTGTCAGGCAGCGACTTCTTTCCCCCCGAGGGGGGGGGGCCTTTCCTTCAGAGAAACCAGTCGTCCAGTCGTTTGGGTGAGGGGGGCCCGGGGGGTCCCGCGCATCATCCTTAGATCATCCCCCCTCCGGCCCCTCTCTCCCACAACCCACCCACCCAACCAAACCAAACCCCGTACAACACTCACAAGGTGGTCGCCTCCAGGAAGGGGCTTCGGAGCGCGTACAGCGCCAGTTTACGGCGTCTGTCGTACAGCTCCCGCTCCTCCCCCGCCGTGATGCCGGGTGCAGCCAGGGACCTTGCGGGGGATAGGGAGAGGCGCGGGGGCACATGGGCGGGAGGGGTTGCGTGTACGTGTGTATGTATGTATGTACACGTGCATATGTATGTACACGTGCGTGTGTGTACTGGTGGCCAAGCATCTCCGGGGGATAACTTTGTAGGCAGGTGCATGCACATATAAACGTGTGTGCATGCGTACGTACGACGGCAGGGGAGGTGTGGACGGGGTCAGGTTTTGGATGTACGACAGGTGCTGGACCCGACAGCCGTACGAAAATCCGACAGACAAACAGACCTACGAGCCAGCGCCTGTCCGTACCTGGCCAGGGCCAAACTGAGCAGTGACGTCCCGGCACCGGGGGGGACAGGAAAGGGGCCCCGAGGCGGCGGCGGGGGCGCCCGGGGGGCCGCGGGCCCCGCCGCCACCGTGACGCCAGCGCCCTTGGCCCCGTCGCCTTCGCCGCTACCGTCAACACCCCCGCCACCAGTGGCGGCGGCGGCCGCCGTCGCTGCCGGCGCCTTCGCCCCAGCCGCCCTCCCTGCCGCCGCTTCCAAGTGCTGCCGCCCACGGTGGTGGAAGTGGCCACTTAACAAGTCCACTGCCAGGCTCGTTAACCAGGGCCGCCAAGACCGCCTGCCGTACCTGTACAACAAGCAAACGTGCAACGTACAGGAGACAGTGACGCGTTCCGCCATGCAATGTGATGAACACCTACCATAGCCCCCTGCCCGGTAGGGGCCGGCGACTATGTCGTCTGTCCATCAACATCCCATCCCCAATACGTCCATACATCTTCAATCGGTGTACGGCTGTAAGTTACCACTCCCGTACACGACTTGTACGACCACAGCCACCCCACGGTGCCGTACCCGGCAATAACGCTCACCGCTTGAGCAACGTGACGTACACCACCGGGCGCCAGATGTGCAGCAGCTCCGAAAGCCACAACAGGTTCCGACCCATGTGCGCGTCTGGATCCTCCTCCCCCCCTTCCTCCTTCCCCCCCGCCCCCTTGAAACCCATTTCCCCCTTTCCCCCTCCCATGTAATGCTGTTGTTGTAGCTGTTGTTGCAGCTGTTGCGCCCATTGTGACGCCTGGTGCTCCCACTGCCATTGCCACTGCTGCCGCTTCTCCTTCCAGGTGCTACTGCCGCCGCCGCCGCTGCTGCTACTGCCGGTTGACGATTCTGGGGTTGACTTGGACTCAGACCGGGCTCCGGAACCGCCTGTCGCGGATGCGACAGTTCCCGTTGCCTGATGCGTTGTTTTCTCGGCATCGGCATCACCGTTGTTGTTGCCGACTGTCGCACCAGCTACCTGGGTCATACTACAGCTGGCGTCCGCCGTCATTGTAGCTGCTGTTGCTGCTGCTGCCGGCGCCGTCACAGCGACGGTGGCGCAGCCGGCGCAGCCTAGCCGCGGCGGGGAGCTGCTGCCGTCGCTCGGTGCTGCTGCTGCTGCTGCCGCTGCTCGACAGCCCCGCTGCTCGCCTTGACAGCTTTCGTTGCCGCTGCCGCTGTCCGTTGAAATGCACGACAAGGCAACAGCGCACATTAACGTCAGGACCCATCTCACAGTTTGCAGCAACGACACCAATACTGGTATTAATACAGAGGAGGGCGCAGGCAGGGAAGGTTGGGAGAGACAAAGAGCGGGGCAAAGACGCATCGGCAACAGCGCGAACACAAGGGACATATGGGACAGAAACACGTACATACATACATATACGCATACATACGTACATACAACGCAAGACCCATTCACACATCAGTAGGCCGTCTCTAAGGCCAAAGCACGGCCTCCACGACCTCCACCCGGAGCCCCTACCTGACCATGCATGCGTGACTTCACCACCCCTCCACACTGCCGCAATACTCCCCCTCCCTCCTTCCTCCCCCCCCCCC